AGCTGAGCAGCGCCGAGGACAACAGCGTGGCGGCCCACGACCCGCTCGGGGTGGTGCGGAGCAGCAACAGGGTGAACTCGCACGCGCCGCCCCCAGGTTCACCTAGGACCCGCAAAGGAATGCTTCTTGTACCTTTCAGAAACGCACGCAGCCTTTAAAGCAGCGGTTCTCAACCTGTGGGTCGAACGACCCTTTCACAGGGGTCGCCTAAGACCATCGGAAAACACATATATAGTTACACATTGTTTTTGTGATTAATCACTATGCTTTAATTATGTTCAATTTGTAACAATGAAAGTGGGGGTCACCACAACATGAGGAACTGTATTAAAGGGTCGGGGCATTAGGAAGGTTGAGAACCACTGCAAGGGACAGCCCCCTGTACACGCCAAGGAAGGGGAGGTGGGGTGATGATGTGTGCAATTAGCCGCTTCTCTCCATTTCCTTCCCTAGGAAAGCCCCTGAGAACCTGCCTTCGAGGCCTGAGAAAAGGGGTTTCGCTGCCTTCCTCGACCCACCTAAACCACCTTTCTGAATTCAGCCCCTTAGGTAAAATCGAAATTTCCGCTTCACCGTGGAGAGAAAGGATTTTTCCCTTCTCTTGTTTTCCTTCCATATAGACGCCTCTCTTCTTAATCAGTTTAGCGCTAAAATCAAAGCTACAATTTAGTGAGCTCACGGCTCTGCAGGTGAAGGAAGAGTCAATGCCCGCAGTCTTCTCCTCTGTCCCTTGCATTTGTTACCTTGGCCCTGTTGGCATTCGAATTTGTAACCTTGACCCAGGCAGGGCAGTAACAGTCGAACTGGGCAAACGAATGGGAACCCTAATCTCAAGTCTTTGTTCTTCCTTGAGCATCTTTGGAGAACAGCTGTCAAAAAGATGGGTGGAAGCCGGTCAGAACCTCACCAGAATGCTCAGAGAACTGAGGCAGAAATCAAGCTAGAAAACTCCAGCTGCCCGGGGCAGGGCGCCCCTGGCCATGCTCTCTAAGCAGCCAGAGCCAGAGGGCCGAGAAGCACACTGCTCCGCTCCCAGGCACAGCCTGGCCTCTGGCCTGCTCTTTGGCTCTAATGAACTGGGCCTGAGGAAGAGCCCTGGTACCGGCTCCAGAAAATCTAGCCTGCTAGGATTTGTTTTTCAAAATGGAAATAAATTCAAACTCTCCTAAGAGGCATTTCATCAAGCCTCTACTTTCAGGTCCAGGGGCAATCCATTCTGGATGGATTATAAAAATGTCACTGGGGAGGGGTCCTGAGACAATGGGGCTGCCCTGGGCTAGGTTCTCTGTATTCTGGTAAATTCTGCCCTCTGAGTGAAGTGGCATCAAGGACTTGGGGGAAGGGAAGTCCAATAGCCAGGGCACCTCAGTGAAGGAGTTAGGAAAAGACCACACTGCCAGCTCTTCATACGATCTCTACCACCCCACAGCAGTGGCTGGGGGCTGGTTAAAACACTCCCAGGCTGACCAGTCTGGGTCTTAATCCACTTGGGAAATGGGGGGCATTAAATGAAGACAGTTTTCAGGCCAAGGAGCCCCAATACTACCATGGGGAAAACCAAACCTCACAGCTGAGGAGCACCAGACAGTGGGACGGCTGCTCAGTCCTCACCCTAGCCTTACCCGGCAACGTAGGGTCTTCCTACAGCGGGGCCCCATTTTCCTACCTCTACTTAAATGGTTCCCCCCAAGAGCAAAATATTAACAAGCAGACTTAACAGCTTCTTCCCAGCCACCCCTTCCCCCCACTGCTATCATGTACCCAACCTTAAAAACATCCGTTCTTTTTACTTATGAGAGAAACATTGGACAACTGTTTTTGCCTAATGGTTTTAAGCTGAACTTGAAGAAATAGTTCCTTTTATGAAGCACCAAAACTATAATACTATGTAGCAGTGCATGGCAGATATTCTCTTTATATAGTTTTCATTTTCTGTTGGAGCTATTATACTGTATAAAAACTATTGAAAGCTCCCCAATACTGATGGAAAATTCCCGAAGGACTTTAGTAGAAAACTGGTTATAATCTCACAAACTCAATACCATCTATTAGGGGGGTTTCTCTTTGGCAGTGCCAAGGTAGCCCCCACAATTTCCTATGTCTTGAAGCATGTGGCAATATTTATTTATTTATTTGGAAGACTTAGCCTATCGCTCTGTATTTATAGATATTTATAATATAAATATGTAACCCCACCATTTTCCTTTCTTCTGTTTAAAAGAAAAATAAAATTAATCTCAGCTTCTATTAGCTTTTCCTCTCTGTGTTACTACATAAAAGCATGTCACAATATGAGAATAAAAGGGATTAGGGACCTTGGGGGGAATCCAGAGAAGACAAAGTTGTAAAAGAATACCAGAATTTAAAAAAATTATTGAATTTATTGGGGTTACATTGGTTAATAAATTTATATAGATTTCAGATGCACACTTCTATAATACATCATCTGTATATTGTATTGAGTTCAGGGAATATGGGAACTCTTACTACTAAAAAATATAGTCTATTAAAAATATATAGAAGGAACCAAGATGTCAGTGTAGATAAACACAGTACTCACCACCTCCCACAACCACATCATAATTATAACTAAAATACAGAACAACCGTCATTCAGAACTGCCTGAAGTCTTACTGAATGGAAGTCCTACAACTAGAGAATTAAAGAAGAAAGCCCATTGAGACTGGTAGGAGTGTTGGAGGCGCAGGACAGACTGGTCCGAAACCTACGTGTGGTGTTTCTAATTGGGAAGGATATCTTGGCTGCGGAGGCCACCCACACCAGACCCCCTCAGCCAAGGATCCCAGATCTGGGAAGAGAAGTCCCCTTAACTTCAGGCTATACAAACCAGCTGGGACTGTGACTGAATGACAAAGAGGCTGCCAGAGTCCCAGCAGTTCCTCTTAAAGGGCCAGCACATGCACTTACTCAGACTCATTCCCTCTGAGCTCCAGAACTGAGGCAGCAGCTTGGGGGCATCCAGAGACATATAGGGAGAAACTGGATTGTCTGGCATTGGGGCAAGAACTTAGGGGAGGCTTTCTCCCAGATAGAGGTGCTCACAGGGTTTATTGTTCCTATGCTGAGACTTCCCCCATCATAGAACTGACTCGCAGATGCCATATCTGAGGCTGTTCACTCCGCCCTAGAGATTCCCTAAGACTCCACCTCACCCAATTTGCAGATCCACCCAAGCTGTTTGCAGCAGCTTTTTCATATGAATGGCCTGTCCTGGATCAGGCCTCAGGCTTTCCTAAAATCTCCCAAACAAGCTGCAGCTGGAATCAGCATGCCCCAAACCTATCAATAAGAGGCCCAAGACCCGACACTAGCATCAGCCTGCCTTATTTCACAGTTTGGCCTTGCCTATGCAGTTCCAAGCCCAATACAAGTAGCAACCACGTACAGATCACTCTGTAGCTCCTACCAGGTGGCCCCAGGCAGTGGCTGACTTTGCACCTCCCAGGAGGCCCCAAAGCCAGTGCACCAGGTGGACAGCTTCAGACCATACCAGATTACAACCCTACACATCCACCATAACACACTCAAGGGGCAGACTCAGTGAGCACCAAAGCCCCATGAAGCAAGTCCTACTCCATAGGGGTGTCTCTTGCACAGAAGCTCTTCCACTGTAGTTGCAGCTGGTCCTCATAGACAATTGGCCTGGAGGTCAATTCTTCCCAGTGACACTAACAGCAATCAAGGCTCAACTACAATAAGACTGCACACAGCCCACACAGGGATACACCTAGAGTACCAGGCTCAGGTGACTGTGGAGGGTGAGCTGCTGGGCCCTACAGGACACCTACTACACAAGACCACACTACCAATTCCAGGAGACATAACAGCTCTAAATAATACATAGAAATAAACACAGGGAAGCAGCCAAAATGCAGAGACAAAGAAACATGTCACAAATGAAAGAACAGAGGAAATCTCCAGAAAAAGTACTAAATGAAATGGAAGCAACTAAACTACTAGATACAGAGTTCAAAACAATGGTTATAAGGATGCTCAAGGATCTTAATAAGAGTTTCAAGGGACTTAGTGAGAACATCAAAGACATGAAAAAGGATCAGTCAGAAATTAAGCATATAATAACTGAAATAAAGAGTAATTTACGTGCCCTGGCTGGTTTGGCTCAGTGGATAGAGCATCAGCCTGCGGACTGAAGGGTCCCAGATCTGATTCCAGTCAAGGGCACATGTCCAGGTTGTGGGCTCAATCCCCAGAAGGGGGTGTGCAGGAGGCAGCCAATTAATGATTCTAATCATTGATGTTTCTATCTCTCTATCCTTTTCCCTTCCTCTCTGACATCAATAAAATATATTTTTTAGAAATGAATAATTTACATGGATTCAACAGTAGACTAGAGGTTTCTGAGAATCAAATCAGTGATTTGGAATATAAGGAAGTAAAAAACACCCAATCATAAGAGCAAAAAGAAAAAAGAATCCAAAAATATGAAGAGAGTATAAGGAGCCCCTGAGACTTCAAGTGTACCAATATTCACATTATGGGGGTGTCAGAAGGAGAAGAGAGAGTGCAAGATACTGAAAACCTTTTTGAAGAAATGACAGAAAACTTCCCCTACCTGGTGAAAGAAATAGATTTACAAGTTCAGGAAGCACAGAGAGTCCCAAACAAGAGGAACCCAAGAAGGCCTACATGAAGACATAACATAATTAAAATGCCAAATGTTAAAGACAAAGAGAGAATCTTAAAAGCAGCAAGAGAAAAGCAGTTAGTTACCTACAAGGGAGTGCCTATAAGACAGTGAACTGATTTCTCAACAGAAATTTTGCAGGCCAGAAGGGAGTGGCAAGAAACACTCAAAGTGATGAGTAACAAGGACCTAAAACCAAGATTACTTTATCCAGCAAAGCTCTCATTTAAATATATTTTTTATTGATTTCAGAGAGGAAGGCAGATAGAGAGATAGAAATACCAATGATGAGAATCATTGGTCGGCTACCTCCTGCACGCCCCACACTGGGGACCAAGCCCACAACCAGGATATATGCCCTGACCGATTGAACCATCATGACCTCCTGGCTCATAGGTCAACACTCAACCACTGAGCCACACTGGTCAGCAAGCAAAGCTCTCATTTAGAATTGAAGGTCAGATAAAGAGCTACACAGAGAAGAAAGAGCTAAAGGAGTTCATCACCACCAAACCAGTATTACATGAAATGTTGAAGGGTATTCTT